TAGTACCCCTCACTCCTCGTCCGTATACCGATAACACAACGGCCAACCCTCCGTATCAAACACCCTATTCGGCGCCACGGGCACACTCTGAACGTCGAAGGGCATCAGATGATCTGCGTGCGCATCAAGGTCGTATCGTGGGTCGGTCATATTGTGCCGGGTTAGGGGCATGCCGGAAAAGGCATGTAAGTTGGATGGGTGGTGGCGCTGCCACTATAAAATAGCTCATGTCAGTATTGTTACACTGCAGACATATGGAGCGGGAAAGTGGGATGGGTTCGGGGGCGCACCTCACTCCACAACCGGTCAAGTTGTGTATGATGCAGCCAAAAGAGCGGATCGTTAGGCGTGAAGCTGATCGCCATGCCCTGGCAATCCCCCTCCGGCAGGATCTTCGGGCAGTCTCCTGCCAAATCGCCCCCAACGAAATCGTGTACGTGGTTGTGCATTAGTGTCATTGCGTGCTGGAACCTGAAGAAGTCGCCCGTGGTTTTCTCGGTCGAGTTACGCACGAAATCCGGGCCGAGGGTGCGGTTTTGAGGCAGCTCATGAGGGTACCAACCGGTTATGAGCGTCAGATTCCTCCGCAGCGAGTGTGGGATCGGCCAGGCAAGTTCGAAGTTCCCGTTGGACGGGGCAAAAGCGCCGGTGGTGACGGTGCAGTCCGCCTCGGGGGAGGAATCGCAGTCCCCCGTTCCGCCCAGCCCATACTCCGAGGAGTCCTCGAACACTGGCGAGCTGAACAGGTCTGCATGATCGCGCGACCAATCCCAGTATGGTGTTGGCCCGCTGTACCCGCAAGTGTGGCGGAGGGAGGTGTCAAATAGGTAGGTGAACCAGCGATCTGCACTCATCATGTATTTGTAAATATGTGCTTGGGGAAGGCAAGGAAAGATTGAAACGCACGCCACGGCAAAAAGTAGGCATTCCTATGCGCGCTGTGCTCCACTGATGCGTGCGAATAAGAGAAGTCGTCGTACAGGCTCCTCTTCCCCTCCAGCACTGTCTGGTTCTCCGTCAAGGATAGCCGTTCGTGTCGTATGCTTGCCAAGCACTATTCGGCATAAGCAACGATTACGCGTTACCAACGGGGAGGATGGAGGGCGCACCTTGATAGCTCCCACCCACTCAGCTTTCTCGCTACGCGTCAATGTCCGCCATTCTTTGCGTGTCAGCAGCTTGTTGCACTTTGGTGGTTGTCCCTCGTTCAATTCTTGCCCATATGAGAAGTGGGCGCTGTGGAGGACGGCGAGGACGGCGAGTACGTAGATTAACAAGATCGAAAGGCCCATAACTAACATTCAATTAGGAAGGGAGCAAAGAGTAGGTCGGGTCCGATAGTCGCCGTATCAAATGAAAGTCTAAATAGTCAGCTTAGTGTCCGTAATGGAAGAAGGCGCCTGATAAAAATTGCACTAGTTCCAAATTGTCTTATTGTATCATCCGCTCATGGTGCCTTTCCCGCTCTTCCGCGCTCTCCTTGTGCCACTGAAAGTAAGAATCAACCCTCCTTCTCACCCAGGTCCATCTTGAAGCCACAAGCATAACTATGTGCACCTCAATCTACCTCTCCCGCCTCGCTCTAGTCCTCTGCATCGTATTCCCCTTCTACCTCGCCATCCGTGGTGCCGCCTCGTTGTCTGACATCTCAATTATCCTCTCCTCCCTTTCCGAGCGCGCCAAAGCCCTTCACGTCGTGCTCACCTCCCCGCCTGCCGCCCCTCCAGCACCAATCTACAAAGAAGCCTTCGAAGATTCTGCCAAACCCGCCGGGCCCGTGCGCGCACCCGAAGACGGGAGAAGGAATAAATACCCCTCCCTTCCCGATGGACTGGCGCACTGCATCAACTCCTTCGAGCAGTATCCGTTCCTCGCCGAGCAAGTGCTCCAGCGGAAGCATGCGCGGTATTCCAAGCAGAATCTCGCGCAGAAGGCGATAAGCGATAAGCTCGGTTATCTTGCACACTTCGAGAAAGCCAGGAAGGGGATCGAGGTGAACACCCGGTTCTCGGAAAAGATCGCGCTGATTGCGAGGGAGGATTACCACACCGGCCCGCAAGCGCTGGAGGACAAAGAAGACGCGGATTTTGGAGTTGTGGGCCTGGCTTTTGGACATCTTTCGCGAGATTGGAGCACGCAGGGCGTAAAGGAGAGGCAGGCCGTGTTTCCGCCTGTTCTGGGTGGGTTGGAGCAACATTTTGGCGGGAACGGGAGAGGGAAGAAGGTGCTTGTACCCGGAAGCGGTATGGGAAGACTGGCAAGCGATATCGCTGATCTCGGTGCGTCCATCTTGTTTCATTGAATTGAAGGCGTGGTCTCACATCGGCGCAGGGTACGACGTCACGGCCAACGAGCTGGACTACGGCTCCATCCTGGCCTACCACCTGCTAACGAACCACACGACCTCGCTGCACCAGCACACCCTACAGCCCTTCGTGACCAAATGGACGCATCAGGCTAACCCCTCCTCACGCTACTCTGCTCTAACGGTGCCGGACCACTGGCCAAACAAGGCCGTCAAGCTCGTCGAGGGTGACTTTTTGGAGAAGTTCCCCCGGGACGGCGAGTTCGACGCCGTCGTCACGCTGTTCTTCATCGACATTTCTAATAACGTGGTTGACTTTCTAAGCAACATACATCGGCTGCTGAAGCCTGGTGGGGTGTGGATCAACCTCGGGCGTACGTTACTGTCCTCTCTTCTTAAAGTTCTTATGATTTCGTCCACCGCCAAAACCGGGCTGACATGTACACAGCGCTGAAATGGGGCACCCACACCGCTCTCCAACTCTCCACGGAGGAAGTGCTCCAGCTGGCAGATCTGCTCGGGTTCGATGTGGACCATATGTCAAGGAAGAACATCGACAGCCTGTATGCCGAGCAGCCGGAGACTTTGCTGAAGTTCACATATGGTGAGTGCCTGCTGTTTTCTTGTGAGGAGTGAGGATGGATGCTGATGGGACGGGCAGTTACCCAGTTTTGGTCCGCGACAAAGAGGGGGTAAAATGGGGGTTTTGTAGTCTTTGCTTCCAGGCTTTGAGCTAGATACCTTGAAAACTAAACTTTTGCAACTTGCGAAGACAAAAGGTGTTAGACCTGTGTTCTCTCAAAGCTACAAATGAGTAGTCTTTACAAATACTAAGGTCACTGATTAGGGAACACACGTTACTACAGAGAGGTATTTTAGTGCTTCATAGGGTAGTTATTGAGATAGTAATATCACTGGATTAATTACTAGATTTGAAATGTAATTTAATCGGCCTGGTCATTGCCACAACTCAACACTATATGAACGGCCGTCACTCACTCTTAAAGGTCAACACTTGCGCGGGACAGACAGTATGCAAGATGATGAGTGAAGACGTTCAAATGATAGCTAGTACTAAGAAGCTGCTATTACATATAATATTTAGTGTTTACGCTTAGAGTAGAGGTTATATATATGAAAACCATCCAAGAATAGGTACCTTCCACTGGACTATATATTTCTAGATAATGCAAGGAAATGTTTATATTCTAGCACGCACACACTAAATAGCTAGATCATTAGTAAAATAAATATAAGTATAAGGCATAGACTTAGACAGATCTCAGCTGTATCGAGCGACTACGCGTTTGATTATTGATCTCTAGCACCACGAAAAGGTGTCTGTCCGATTCTAGAGGTAACTAGAGCATGAAGTGAGCCTAACACTGTAAAATTGTGGCCCTCTATATGCTTTATGGTGAGTTACAGCGAGTCGCCGTAAGTCACGGCGAGCAGAAATTCTAACGCTGAACAGCTATAGCCCTCTTTTTGATTCACGGCAAGTCACTATGAGTAGAAGACCTAACGCTGTAAAGCTATGGCCCTCTATGTGCTTCACGGTATAAGTCATAGCGAGTAGCCTGCGAGATCGCCCGTCCATGGGCACTAGGGAGTGTCCACGGGCTAGACCTCGCCTTTACCCGTGGGTAGACGGGTTTTACCCGACCCATACCTGTTTCTTAGCGGGGTTTGGGTCTAAGATATAGAGACCAAAGTGTAAAAATGAATGTGTATATTAAAATTAGTCATTGATATCTATCCAGATTGTGAAATAGTATATTTTTGTCATTTTAGTTAGTTGAAGTCATATATATCTGTCATCTATACACTATACATTGCTGTATACCTTGATTACTGTATTATGAATAGGCGGTCTAACAGTCGCCCGTGCTACCCGAATGAACTACCCCACATCGCAACGTCCAGCCTCTTTTCCGTAACTCGACTACCTTCCCAACCCAAAGCCAAAAGTCTACCTATGCCTCTGTCCCACCGCAATCAACACCCAAAACTCACCAATCCGCTCGCCCATCAAAATCTACACTCACAATCGAAGATCTTCACCGCCAGTATCACAGAAAGCCATCACCATTCAAACTAGACAAGAAAACAAAGAGACGTACTAAACCCAAATGTGCAGTAGATTCTTTGTCCAGATTCTTGGCGTCATCATTGCGAGCATTCTCGCGATTTCTAGCGGAAATGCAGTCAGATGCGGTCAGTTGTTGGCAGCCTAATATGCAAACCCATTATAGCCGCACCATGACTGCAGCCTAACATCGAGAACGGCTCTTAAGCCACGAAAGGCCTTATCAAGTGAGGCGTAAAGTTCACCATTCAGGAGGTAACGAAAACTGCCCTGATTTCTGACTTCTGGATTGTTGATAGTGAATGTGCTCAGCATGTCTGCAATAATGCCACGAGATTCATTCAAGATAGATAAATACTATAGACCTCCAGTGAGAAGGCGCGGATGCTTCAGCCGCTCTACTAAGCTGTCACAACAATGCCTTTTGCATTCCTCACCACGAGTACTACCGGCCGCCGGAGCGGTTCAGCCTGCTGGCTTAAATGCCAATCAGCTGGGCCAGGCTGTCGTTGCCTTCATCGCCTCCTCCATGGGCTCTGTAGCAGGACCGGTCGACGGCTCAAATAACCCAAACCATCGTGTTGCACTATGAGGGGCAGTCTGGCATCAAGGGTGTGATACAACGGTTGGGCCTGATGTGACTCGACTGCTCGTTTCTATTTCCAGGTTCCCGGCTGTTTGGCAACCCCACGGAACAGTGTATAGTCTGCCAGCGACTTCACCAGTGCCCAGCCTTTCAAGGCTTGCTGGAACCTCTTGAAAAGCTATCTCCTGGATCTGAGGGATCAATTCACCTGCAGCCAACATTTTCAGAACCATGTGGAGTTCCTCGATGCTTGCGCTTGTCGACCCTTTCAACGAGATGTTCTTCGTCACAAGGTCCGACGTCGTGAATTGGATTGTTGCCGCGGCCAGCCCAACCAACACAACGGTGCCACCTATCTTCACCGCAGATATGGCATCCTCGACCGTCCTCTGAGCCCCAGCAAAATCGACAATAATATCGAACGACTTATCTGAGAAGTGGTGTAGGCTTGTTGCACATTCAATGGCGCCAGCACGACATGCTGGCCCAAACTTCGACGAGCTGATGTCGACGCCATAAACCTTTGCGCCTCGGGCTGCTGCAATCGCAACCCCGTTAAGTCCCAGCCCTCCAAGGCCGATAATACAGACTGTGGATTGCTTGCTCACAAGACCCTCCGTGATCACAGCGTGATACGCTGTGGCAATCGAATCGGTAGCCACTGCAGCTTGGGCAAAACTGACGGTATCCGGGAGCTTGACCAAGTTCTTGATGGGGGCTACAGCATACTCAGCATAACCCCCATCGCATCCGACACCAAGTGCTTCTTGGAAGTTTCGTTCTTGAATGGGATGCCCGACGCAAGCCACCGCTACGCGGTCGCCGACTTGGAAAAGACTGGAACTGCCATCCCCGCCTAATTCCACAACTGTACCAGCGATCTCATGGCCTAGAATGACAGGCAGTGCGCACATCCAACTAGCTCCACCGCCGTGTAGTACGTGTGTGTCTGAATGGCAGAGCCCTGCAGCTTTGACTTGCAGGAGAACGTGATCTTTACCAGGCTTGGGCATGGGTACATCTCGCAGCTGGAGGCCTTCACCAACGCCAAGGAATTGGAATGCTTTCATGGTAATTGTCGAAGGGTCGTGGTCAATAAGGAAAAGCTAACGGTGACTGTTGAGTGAGGCAGAGGTCCCCAGTGACGGAACATGGGATATATACATCATAAAATTAGTACAGTAACCTTCACCTGGGCACCTGAATGATTCAGAATGAGTCATCATGACCATCTTCACAAGCCGATCCACCTACATCTTGGCGGATCCCTTAAGTGACGTTGGACTAGGTGGTTTTGGAGCAGGAGGATGTACGGTTGGAACTTCTCCCCCTGTCAGGAACGCCCATATCTCCCACCTAGAGATAGGCGAAGTGATAGAAGTCAAGTTGTACAGCAAGGTATGGTATAGATGACAGACATGGATGACTCTTAACTAATTAAAATGACAAAATCTACTATTTGACAATCTGTATAGACATCAATAACTAAACTTAATATACACTTTTGTATAGTACTCGCAGCTGTAGCGGTCCATTTATTTTCCGAGGGTTTCAATACTCGGTTTTCAGCCATGTATTGTAACATACCTTTCGACATTATACTCTAGATACAATATTAAAGTAGCCATCTACGGGAAATTGTATGAATTGGGAAGGTGAACATGTGACACCTGACAGCCAGGGAAGGTGCAAGGGAACTGTCCATTTCGGGAAGGTATGTGGGAGGTGACAATATAAAAGACCTCCCATTCCCCATCCTCCCCTTCCATCGTCCCTCCTGACCACCATCTCACCATAGGCCCCATGAGACAGCGTAGGCGAAGGGTCCCGTAGCACCTGGGTACCTCGCATATGCATGAAGACAACAACATTACCAAGTTGTTGAGGCCCATACAGGTCCACCAATATCAAAATGGGCTTTCTCGTGCGAGCTCTTTGACAAAGTCGTGGCTGAGCCTTCGGGCTCTCCATAGCCACTTGACGAGTCCCACGGAATACATTGGGGGTGTTTAATCACATCTTCGTTTCATTGTACAGCTAGTCACCTAAGTGGTCACCTAGTCAATAAGCTTGGACATAATTTCCTGAATTCCATGTGTTCTACCTAGGCAATGTTGAGAATATAATCCAAATCTATATTATCCTCAAAATCGCGAAACATCCCGCCCAAAGAACTTGTTCAATGTCCACCGGAAAGCCACACGCAGTTTATTTCGCCAGCTGATGGACATGCTGATGTACGCCATCTTCCAAATGATCGACGCAGTACGTCCCTTGATACCTTCTGGCAGGAAACTTTTCGAGCCACGCTCACCGTTGTGGGGTATTTGCATCAATGCCCGTTCGTCACCGATGTACGCCATCGTGCCCAGGTCACGGAAAGAAAACGGCGGGGTCCGAGCCAGGTCATCTTTGTTCAAGCGATCAGCTAGCCACTTCGATTCTTGGTTGGTGGCCTGTGCCGTTGCAGGTGGAGCACCATTCTCTGGCATGGCGTTATCACCCAATGCGAACACATCCTTGAGAACGGCTGTCTGGCCTGTTTCATTTTGCAGCTGTACCCGCAGATGCCCGTCGACGAGAAGGGGACCTTTCTTAGGGGCTTTCTTGAATTTCCACAATGCATTTTCAGGATTTTGCGGTGCTTCTAAGGATGCCTCCATACTATGAACCGAGTCTGTAGGGAATGCCTCGACCGAGTCAAGCGATTCGGTGATGAACTTGGGCATGGCATTACCCGTTACCCAAACACACATGCCAACGCCCAGTTCACCATCTTCTTCGGTTGTCAGAGTCAGACAGCGCTTGGGATCCATATGGTATGGTGGAGGCGCACCAGGCGCGCCCCAGCGCAAACTTTTGACATGGTGAGAGGTCTTGATGTCAATGCCCTCGCGCGTCATAGTCTCCATCGCATAGCGAGAAAGCGACTCATCGAACATCGAAAGCACCTTGGGCGCAACATCATACAAAGTGATCTTCGGCATTTCATTAAGACTCGGGTATAGCGCCATCATATCGGAGTAGATGAAATCGCGCAGCGACGCCGCAAGCTCAATGCCGGTTGGACCAGCCCCGACAATGGCAAAGTTCAGCAGCCACTTTCGCATCTCTGGAGTTGTAAACGGCAGGACAGCCAGTTCGAAGCATTCCCGCACACGCCGCTTGACTCTTTTCGCGTCCCCGATATCTTTGAAGAACATGGCATTCTCCCGCACCCCCGGTGTTCCAAAAGTGCGGCTGACGGCGCCTACCGCAATGACAAGTTTATCATAAGGTACTTCGAACATCTCTCCCTGTTCCCATTGAAGATGCGCTTGCATTGGCTCCTTGTTCGTGGTCTCCGGGTCTTCGTCAGTTCCTCGGCGCTCTTCGGCCGTGCGAGGTGACTCGGTGACACCGCTCTTGACGACTGTTGCTTCGCATAGAATCGTCTTCTTTTTCAGGTTAACTGCACGCGCAGCTGCTTGGATGAAGTCGACTTTGGCGCGCGGGTCGCGCACGGGCTCGACGATGTTCGAGAAATCGAGGGATCCGCTAGCGGTATTGGTGAGGAGAGGGGTAAAGACGAAGTATGAGCGAGGTGAGATTATGAGAGGTGCATAGGTCTTTTGAGAAAGCCTCCGCGAGAGGGTGTATCCACCCCAGCCGGATCCAAGAATGACAACTCGTTCCCTTTTATTATCAGACTCCTGGGCTGCAGCGGACTGTTCAGCCTGTGTTGCGAGGCATCTCCGGCGTGATGTGTGAAGTGCTGGGGCAATGCTAGCAGAAGATATGTATGTCGAGTTGAGAGAGTGGGCAAGGGGGGGGGACGGATTCCGTGTACGTAGGGCCTGGCGCCGCAGAGGGAGCATCGCGCTCAATGGCCGGGTTTGCATGGCAATGCAGGACTAACTCAGTGTGTCAGTTAACCGAAGGTATTCTGTTCAAAATCAATCCCATTTCAGCACTAAATCTTGCTATCTAAATGCGACATTGGTGCTCATAAGGAAGGTTTAGACTTCCGCTGACACATCGATGACTTCACTGTCGGCAGGGCAAGGAAAGGAGATATCCGGAACGGATCTTGGGCCTGGCCCACTTGGTATGACCCATATTCCTTCGGGTCCTCGTGCTCCCGTGAATTTCTTGGGAATAGAGAGCTGTTGTTACTGCTCCATCTATCAAACTCGTGGACACCCGGGACCCTTCGGAGCAGTCGGTGAGAACAAGCTGCACGTGCCGTCGGAGACGATCGGGAGCTTCAGACACATGCTGTTCACATGGCACTGAAGAGTTTTGATAGATTCTTATCAGCTGTAAATAAATTTGAGGGTAACTTGTGAAGAAGAGAGGAGAAACCGAAGCTATTATGAGTTCAAGGGGAGTGTCATACGACAGGGTTGCGCTAAGGCTTGGCAAAATCACATGAATTATATAAATGCGACATAAGTTCTCAAGGATCTCCGAGGTTTAAGCGGCTTAAGACTTTCATGCAGATTTATCTCGAGCTTACAACCAGGTCCCGGATTGTTTTCTCGCGTTATCTTTCGCGGTCGAGCGGATGCCATTATGTTCGAGGACTTGAGAGCCCAGATTCCTCGGCATTGCGCTGAAACGCCCGAATCCAAATCTGCCCCGATTATGATACGTCTCGAAAATATCCAAGCAAATGGCGTGAGATTCAGCGAACGCGTTCGCATCAAATTAATCGTGTCTCGAGATTTTGCCTTCACTTAAAAGGCGGTCGAAAAGGCGGCGACTGATATGTGGGAAGTATGACACGCATGCGTGGCGTAGTGTGGCGCACAAACGTACTCATGTGGCGCAGTACTAGTGTGAGTCAGAAGGTCGGATTTAGGGGCAAATTGCCTAATCGGGATGGCCTTTTTTTCTCCGTTGTATACATTCCTCTATACCTTCGCCCCCATCAATGTATCTTTATTTGCCCCTCCGAGATTTAGGCTCTAGTAGATTCGGAGATCACTGTATAATGCATGGTTATCACCGATATATTGCTACATTGGGACCAATTCTCGGCCCCGAGCCCTGATGGCGAATTGGCGTGAAGATGATGCACATGTCTAGGCAGGGCTATGGTACGTATACTTCCATAATGACGCCTAACACGGCTGCCTGGGTGTATAACCAGTTGTATATATATAAAGAGTAGCATTTTGCTTGCGTCAGTATCAGATCAAGTGTCTTTCACTTTTCTTTTCTTCTCTTCTTTTTGATATCTCCCAGCGTATCATTTTCTCTCGCAAGTTACATATTTTACATCAATCTACCGCTTCAAGATGGCTTCCATCTACCAACTCAACCAACCTCCCAATCCGTTTTGGGACTTTGCCAACGGAAATCTAGAGGACCATCCTTTCTTTGCTCCTCGCGGCCACCACGGACGTCGTGGGCGTCGTGGATGGGATAACCCCCAGCAGAGCGACAATACCACCCGAGGTGCTCAAGCAGGTGAAGGCAACGAGTCCAACAACAACATGGAGAAAGACGAAACGCCAGCATCGGACTCCGACTCGCCAGACAACCACCACCATGGCTGTGAACACTGTGGAAACGGTAAGGGCAAGGGCAGGGGTCGTGGAGGTCCCGGCCACCATGGTCCAGGTCCATTCCGTGGCAAAGGCGGCAAGGGAAAGCATGGCCATGGTCCTCACGCCGGGCCCTACGGCCACCACAACGCCTCTAAGGAATTCCCACAGGACTCCGAAGCACCCCAAGCAGTCGGTGAACTACCCGAGCCCAACGCACTCTCTTTCGCCTCGAAAGAAGTCATTGAAACCTCGGCATCCGACTCCGACTCCCCCGACAGCCACCGCCGCCACGGCGGAAAGTGCAAGAACAAGGGCCATGGAGGTCCCGGTCACCATGGACCAGGACCCTTCCGCGAAAGGGGCGGCAATGGAAAACACGGCCATGGCCCTCACCCTGGGCCGTACGACTTCCACGCTTACGGCCATGACCACCACCACGGTGCTGGTGCCTTTGGAGGCCCTGGACGCGACGGAAAGGGCAGACATGGACATGGATACGGACACGGACACGGTCCCCACCCTGGCCCATACGACTTCCCTGGCCACCACCACAACGCCGGTCCCTTTGGTTTCGGTCCCCGTGGACAGGGTCACCACCACAGAGGAGGCCCCGGTGGCCGCGGCAGACACCATGGCGGACCACCTTTCGGCGGACCGTTCGATTTCCTGCGCCAGCTCGGTGCCGGACTTGGTTTTCCCATCAACGGGCCTACCGCAGAGGGTGTTGACTTCACGCCTTCCGTTGACGTCTTCGATACCCCCACCAAGTACATTGTGCATGTCTCACTTCCCGGAGCTAAGAAGAGTGATCTCAGCATTGACTATGATGCTGATGAGTCTGTTCTGCATCTGGCGGGTGTCGTTTACCGGCCCGGTGTCAATGAGGATCTACACCAGGCTCTTGTTATGGAAGAGCGGGGTCAACACGTTGGTGTCTTTGAGCGTGAGGTCCGTCTTGGGACTCGTGTTGCCCCGGCTTTTGTTATTGTCGATGGGATCTCGGCGAAGCTGGAGGATGGTGTTTTGAATGTTACTTTGCCGAAGATTGTTCAGAATCCCGAGATTGGAAAGAAGAAGGTTTTTGTGGAGGATGGTGATTTGCAGAATGAGAAGGACGCCATGGTCGTGGATGAGAGGACTCTCACTCCGGTGGAGTCTGAGGAGAGCGATGTTGAAGATGGTGAGGCGAGAGAGTATGTCAATGTTCATGTGCAGTGAGCACAAGTCGAATTTCTGTGATTTTGGATTAGTTGGAGTTTTTGTTGTGAATTTTTGTTTTCATCTATCTTTTAATCTTTTGAGATTGTTTACCATGAAATAATGAAACGCCGCTCGAAATCGGGTGGAATATATACCAATTTTTCTCTTGCTGGAAAGTCTTGTGGACCAAAGTCCTATGAGGAATATTCATTAATATTTCATAAAATAAAAATCACCAAACAGGGTATATCGAGATCATTTGCCAAAGACCCATCTTCTCGGCCATACCAGCCACTCCCTAAAGCCGGGGTGGATCTTGGTCTCAATATCCTCCAACAATTGAAGTGAAGTGTCCTTTATGAACCAGGAATTATCAACAATACGCAGCAGCACACACCAATGACCCAACAGGACGAGAGCTGCAGGATGAAATGCTTCCAAATCTTCTTGGAACTTTTTGGAAAGGGAGTATGCCCACATTAGGACCATGCCAACCTCCACATGGGGCCCTGCAAGTTCTATCTGACGAGTCGAGTTCTCAAAGTACCGCAACGTGTGTTTATAGTCTTTTCGGTAATCAGAAGGACGTGGTAATTCATCCGAGGCGCTCAAGTTCTGGTGGGACTGGGGTTGTATATGAGGGAAAGGATAATCATCAATAAACTGATGGAGTTGTGATATCCGAACATGAATATCGGGAGGAAGAAGAGATTGCTGCATGGTTGCTTGGCTGAAATGGGGTCAGTTGGCTCGGTTTAACAATTACCATACCCCGGATGTGGGATTGTGAGAACTCAAAACTCACCTTGGAATGAGCATTTCGTCTTCAAGCCAGACACAGTTAACAAGCGGTGCGAGCTGGGTCCTTCGAAGAGAGCCCAACCATGGCGCCATAATAGTCTGCAATCCCTTGACGACGGAAAAGAGCTCCACCATGTTCGATATCGGAGCAGGCCAGCGATCCTCCCCCAGTCGGATCGGCGAGGCACAGACATATACCATAATCATAGAAGCAAAGCAGAAAACAGGCTGCCAGTTGCTAGGGTCAATTGGGGAGGAAATGAGCTCTCGGAACTCTTTTAGCCCAGCTGCCTGGTGGTAGGCGGATGCCTTGATGTACTTTTCTTTCTGGGCTGGAAAGAGATAGGAGCGGTGCAGGGCAGCCAGAGCCAGTATTCCGTGCATCAAATATTTATTGGAATAACCCTCCGTTGGGAGAACAACACGCCAGACATGCCGTGAGTCTTCGCGGATTGTCAGAGTTTTGCATGTGACGGTGCAGTAATGGTGCATGAGTTCAAGATCCGATGCCCAGTCATCCGTGTTCAGAGTTGGAATTTCATCTGGCGAGTTGGACAAGAATTGCAGTAGATCAGATCTACTCTCTGGCTTAGGCTGGTCATGACCCAGAGCACTGGAGTTCCCGGCGGGAGTCGCGGGGTATGACTCTACGTTCAATGGTGAAGGTACATAAGATGGCGCCAATGACTCTGACCGAGAATACGGCGTCTCAGCCGGAGTTGATATGCCACGGTCAACATAGGAGCATTGAATGGCATGTTTGGTACAGTTCGTACATGGAAATTGTTCATCGCACTGTGTTGGTTAGAAAAGGCTCAAGCCAGGGGGTATTCGTCGTACCTTTAGTCTTCGTGCTTTACATTGTGGACAGCCATTGCGCGACTTGCGATGTGATCTCCTTGGGCCCATTATCAAGGGTATATAAAATCAAAGTGATGCGGAATGAAGCTATTCGAGTTCGAGTTCGAGTGCGAGTGCGGATACGGAGAAACGGTAACGAATACGGAAACGGAGACGGAAACGCTCTTCAAGGCCCCACATCGCTTGTCTAAGCTGGGTAAAAGCCAAGACGTTTCCCAAATGACAAGAATAACGCTCGAATCAATTCATTCAATTAGAAGTCCACCTAAATTTATAGTGGATCGGGATGAACCCTGTTGCAGATTTGAGGCTATGGCGATGGTAGCGATGGTTGTTTCCCAGGGGCCAGCCGATGGTTCTTGCCCATCTTCATATAAAGTCCAATTGTGTACCCCAATTAGCATAAATCAACTGAGCTTCTTTAAACATCCCACTCTTTTTATTGCAAGATGTCTGAACAACACAATATCTACGGGTATAATCCCTCCCTTCCAGCCGCTGTCATCTTCATCGTTCTCTTCGGCGCTACGACCGCCTACCACGGCTATCAACTTACCAAGTCACGATGCTGGTACTTTATTCCCTTTGTGATCGGCGGAATCTGTAAGTGAAGCTATTTGTTTTACTTTCTGAAAGCATCACTAACTCTCAACTCACTCATACAGTCCAGGTCATAGGATACATCTGCCGAGCCGCATCGCATGACAACTTCTATGGAATCCCGCTGTACGCTATGCAGAGCCTGTTTATCCTGCTCGCCCCGCCGCTGTACGCGGCATCTATCTACATGGTGCTCGGTCGAACAGTGACATACCTTCAAGGCGAGCACTTGAGCTTGGTTCCAGTCAAGTGGATGACAAAGCTCTTCGTGGCAGGAGATGTATTATCATTCCTCATGCAATGTGGTGGTAAGTAGTGACCCTATCATCAAATCTGACAGCAGGTCAGCCATGAATCGAGAAAATAAATGCTAACCACGTCTCATTCTAGGTGGCGGTCTCATGTCCTCAGGAGGCTCCATGCGTGAAACAGGCTCGAACATAACCGTCGGTGGCCTGGTGGTACAACTTCTCTTCTTCGGCTTCTTCGTGATCGTCACGACGGTCTTTCACTTCCGCATCTCTCGTCAACCTACTTCCAAGTCACAGTCAGATCGTGACCACACCCGCAATGATGGCTGGAAACAACGCAATTGGTTCACCATCCTGATTGGACTATACATCGTCAGCTTCCTAATTCTGGTGCGGTCTATCTTCCGCTTGGTGGAGTACAAAGAAGGCTACGATGGCTACACTATGACACATGAAGTTTTCATGTACGTCTTTGATGCAGTCTTGATGTTCTTCGCTATGTCTGTGATGAATGTATACCACCCCGCTGAGATCTTGGGGGATGGGAAAGGCGAGAGCCAGGAATATTCAGATGTGATGATGCAACTGAGCTAGACAGCAATAGTTGTAGCTCTTAGGACTAGTGCAGTTCACCAATCAGAATTTTCACTTTTGGTCAAGACTTCTTCAATTCTCATCACAACTTCAATTACTTTTAGTGCTTTGTGTAAAACGGGTATATCCAACTTTTGCCCAAAGATAGAAACAGCAGAAAGGCCAAGACAAAACGACAAACTATAAGACAAAATATTCAATCATTAGATGCCATAAATCATATCATCGTGATCTGTAGTCCAGACTTGACCGCAGATCGTAACTCTTCCGCACAGTGTCACTTCCTAATCCACCAACGTATAAATCAGGCCGTCTCGACGTTCCCGTGCCGCTTGTAGAAACAGGTAGCAGACTGCCACCATATCCATCGATGCTCCTCCGCATGCGGGACAAACTTATCATTTTCTCCATCTCCAAGGCTTGGAGCGTCTCCTCGCCCGGTTCGCTCTTCGCAGACACCTTCCCCCGGTTAGATAGCCAGCGCCGACCGCCCACACGGAAGAAACCACCAATATCATCAACCGTGAGAGCGACCCAAACAAGTGGAATGGAGATAGCAAAGCCAATACCAAAGGTGAACTTTGCCACATAACCGAGGTTCAAGTTCTCAAATTCTTTCAGGTTGATTGTAAAGATGGAGGCGATGAACGACAACGGCAAGAAAACAATAGTAACAATAGTAAAGACCATAATCGTCTTACTCTGGCGGGCTGTACCAGCAGCCTGATCACGGGCAAAGCGTGCTTCAAACGCATTGGCATGTTTCTGCTTGAGATCGAGCAGATCCGTGATGGAGTGGTAGATGCGCTCAGCCTGTTTATCCATGCGTTCAATGTCCTTCAGATGCATGTCGATCATGCGCTGCTGGTCTTTGAACCGTTTCTTGACCTCGAATTGGGACCGGTGCTGGCCTTGGTAGGTCTCGCAAACGACTTCTTGGAAGTCAAGCAACACATTGTTCTGATGCTCCAGCACCGTCCGGATCATGTTCAGCTCATCTCGGATGTCCTTTGTCTCGGCTAGAAGATTGGTTTCCTGTCCGATATCCAGCAGCCGGTCGACGAATAGTGGCTGGCCATCCTCGTCGCAGTAACTGCTTCCGTCTGTCTCTTTGCAGGACTTTGACGGAGAGCTGAAGGAGCCGTTCAGCTTCCGGTGGCTTTTCAGCCAGTCCGATGCCTGTCCAGAGGCGTGATTGAATTGGTTAAAAAGCACGGTCTCTTTGTCCGTGGCTATACCGATTGATGACTCGAACATATCTAGGAACTGGTATTCCTCGTCGCCCAAGCGGTGTCGATCAAAGACTCCCGAGCATCGATTGGTGATTATCATGGCTAGGTCATAGACGGATTTGACAGGGTCTCGGGTTTTGGAATTGATATCCTCGATAATCCCATCCAGCACGTTAAGCGGGTCATTCTTGGGCTGGTCCCATCTCTGTGGGAAGGCCGTTACAATCAGATTCGTGCCTAGAACCCACATCCACAGTTGATCTACCATGAATATCTTGGGGTCTGCTCCCATTCCAGGGCTCTTTGTTTGGTACCGGTACACCACTTGATCCTGATCACGGCTCTTGGTATCGATGTTTGGGTAGAAAAACTGGTCCAGTGTTCGGCGGACATGGAGGGAAGTCGTTGAGGATGATAGATGCGCGTCGATGAGCATTTCGTCTCTTGTGCGCCTTTTCTTCATCACATTGGATACAAATGCCAGCGTTTCCGCTCGTGAGATTGCATCCTGCATCTTTTGCCTGCGCTCCGTGGTCTCAAAGTGTAGATACGGCATGAACACGCAGACGTTACATGCAGAAACCAGAGGGTGAGGATCTTTGCAAAAAGTTGACGAAGATAGGGGTGATGGCCTCGCCTGTTTCTCGTTCTGGCCCCATGGTGACTTCCCTTTCGTCTCCTGCTTGGGTGTTCCCGGTGCGCTGCCGGATTTGCCACGCTTCTGGTTGTTTTTACTCTTTTTTCCATGAGAGCTTGCCCCATCATCATGGAAATAAGAATCCGCCTTCTCAGACTTGCTGCCTGTGCCTTTTTGCTTGCGGGCAGCGCTATCCAGAGCCTTCGCCTGTCCAGGATCAGACACAGGCTCATCCGAAGTCTCCTCTTCATGTCGCCGCATCATCGTCCGCGGCGTATTCTGACATAATGGCCGCATAAAATGCGAGTGAGTCCTTTGACCCCGGTGCTGATAGTTGAAAGACTTTTCCAGCCCCTTGAAGCCATCAACATCATGAGCTCCCTCCTCAATAAAAGACTTGGTAAGCAGGGCTTCCACCCACGCCATATTGTTCGCCGGTAAGTGAATCCACCGGAAATCAGTCCCGCGACTATCAACCGGCACTGTGGTAACAGCCTGTTTCCTAGGATTTTCCTGGTCCCTCCCATAAAGCAGATTAAACACCGACATGCGCTTAACCCTATTCTCATTATGAAAGTTTCCAAAATCAACAACAGTGGCATCAAACGCCGCACAAGCCCCCTTAACATCATCAGACAGACTCTCAACATTGTTAAACGGCGCAAGCAACAGCACAATATCCTTCCTCTTGAACTGCGCCGCCCGCAGAAACGGCGTACTGCCAAAATTATCCCTTATCCGGCGCTTCAGATCAGGTCTCTCAAGAAGACACTCCACAACCTCTTTATGACCCCCCTGCGCAGCAAGATGCAGCGGCGTAATACCATTCAAAAGCTGAGCATTGATATGCGCGCCTTCGCTGACCAAAATCCGCACAATCTCCTCACATCCTTTATCACAGGCATTATGAAGCGGCGTCCAGCCACCATCACTCGCAGCATTAACAGCCGCCTTATGCGCAAGCAACAGCTGCACGATATCCGCCCGGTCATGAGCAGTAGCAACATGCAACGCCGTCTTACCACGCAGCTCGACAGCGTCAATCTCCGCGGGGCCAAGTCTCCGTCCCTCCCCCTCCCCCTCACCAGCATTCCTCGTCAACAACATCTCCGCCAACCTCCAATTCCCCGACGCACAAGCCCAATGTAACGGCGTACGTCCAAGCTCATCTTGTCCCCCAACCCCATCAACAAGACACTCCGTCCTCAACAATAACCTCACAACCTCATCCCCCCACCCCCACCGACAAGCCTTATCAGCAGCGAGGTTATGCAAGGCATTCCTCCGGCGCAGATCGAGCTTATTCACATCCGCGCCGCGCATAATGAGCAGATGCAGGATATCAGCGTGGTTCTTCCATGCGGCAGTCATGAGCGCCGTGCGACCGTCTTTGTCAACGGAATCTGGGCTCGCGCCATGGTCGAGGAGGAGCCGGACGATTTCATAGTGGTCGCGCTCGACGGCGCGGAGGAGCGGCGAGGCGCGGTTTGAGGGAACATCTGTTTTCGCGCCGAGGGTGAGGAGATATTCTGTTGCAGCGACGCAGGCTCGTTCGGCGCTGCGCATTAACCCGATGCGGAGGAAGTTATCGGTTAATTGGTTGTACTCGCGGGCGAGGGATATTGTCTTTTTGAGGGAGTCGACGTCGTTTGATTCTGCGGCGCGTAGGAGTCGGGGCTCGAGGCGCTCGTGGCTGTCGCTCGTTATGCTGGAGCGGGAGGGTGGCATGGTGGGTAGAGGTAAGGTGAGGTTATGAGGAGAGTTGTGATGATTATAATTGGAGTATATATTTTATATTGTTGTGTATAGGGTGTCATTAATCCATTGTCGGCGTTTTTCGTTGCGGTATTGAGGCTCTTTGGTTTTTTTTCCCCGATAAGGTGAAGTACTTCGGGACGGGGTTAAAAGAAATTGGACAAAGCTAGACTTGAATCAAGCTCGAGCGACAGCAGATGGCCCTTTTCCCGGTCCGGAAGAGATCTGCGGGCGTGAAGGTCCTCTCTTTCCTTGGCCCCTAATTCATGGGGGATTCTGTAACCGATGGTGTCAAAGGAAAAGAGGCTGTGTGGCTGATCCTTCTCGTATTGCCTGTTTTAGTGGGTTTGGCGTCGGCATATGCACGGTTTCACAGTTTGACGGGTTGGATCTTTTAATTGGGAAAGATGAAGGACATTTTCATAAGAATGCAGATAAATCCAGAGTATACCAACCTTGAAAGGTCGTAGAGCCGATGTAAACAAATTAAGAACCTGGTAACTCGAGCTAGAACCATGGATCCGGGACAACTCAATTGCACAACTACAAATACATACTCCACACAATCAGGAAATAGATAAAACCCTCATACACTGAATTGTAGACATTAGAATCTATATTTCTATCAGGCAGCTTCCAGCGTCACAAGCTACGGGAAACAGGGGGAATCCAAGGCGAAGAGAGAAGAAAAGCAGGAAGAAAAATTAAAATGACAAGGTGAAAAGAAAAAACCCCTCCTCCGGAGATGCTGATGCCCCATATGCTGATAATTATGATGTGCTTCTCCATGCATGCTACCCCCGATGAATTAAAAAGTTCTCGCTTTTTGCTTTCGCTTCCCTGTGCATCACGCCGATCCAGCCCAGTAGTTCGTTTCACAAAATGCGCCTATCAACAGAAAAATGAAACGGTCAAGAGTACGGAAGTCAGAGTCACAAAGTTGGTATTCTGAATATGTAGGCCGTATCGTAGTGTCATGAAATCTAATCATAGAGAAAAGACACAAGACAATGGTATTTAGTGCTTCTTTTTGTCCTTCTTCGGGACTTCCTTGAGGATATCGTCGAAACTCATGTTCGGGTTATATCGACTAATCGGACGTGTGGGAGGCTCGATGGGAGCAATACCTGCGGGAAGGGGCAGGGCTTCCAATCCAGGGTAGAATGAGTGGCGATGCTCAGATCGTTGGGCAGCGGCAGGCGAGCGGGTTCGTGGGATGGCTGGAGGGGGCGGGGTGAGCCCACCGGGGACCATCATAGGGTTCGGGTATGGTTCCGAAGAAGATCCAGCTGACGATTGTTGGCCCTGGTAAGGTGATGATATAGAAGACTCCTCATCGTCGTAGGTGGCGTCTTCCATCATCGGTGGATCGAGAAGAGCGCCCGCCTCGGCCCACTGTTCGGCGACTTGCCAGCAATGACTGCGGCGGTATACACCTTCCACTCCATTAATTACTACGTCAGATGGCAAGCTAACAACACCAGCACCACCTGCAACTCCGAACCAGCTGCGAGCAGTCTTGGTGTCATTATGGATCCAGGGAGCACCGCCACGTGGGGCAATGCAGAGGAAATACTCCACGCCCTCGTTGAAGTGAACGTCAGGGACATCCACCACCAGCATTGGAAGGGCTTGAATGACGGCATATAGGAAAATCCACTGGCCACATCGGAGGTCAATGATGTCCTGCACATTCTTGCCGTGCGCGGAGCGACGCTCGAATTGCATGAAGCTCTCAATGAAAGGAGTGGGTCGCATGGCTTCCCGGGTATAAGATCCCATCAGGACAGCGTTGATGTCGGAGTCCTTGAGCTTCTTGGCACTCTGCTTGGCCTCCTTCTTGGCATCGAGCGGTTTCCGATGCAAGGGCTGCAGCGAAGGCATCTGTGGAATGTCGAATGGAATGGGAGGAGTCACTGGCGGTGTGCTGCGGTCATACTCGGAAAGAACTTGCCGCAAAGCACGAACGGTCATTTGCTTTGGATCAGATGATTCTACTGAGTCACTGCCCGCGCCCGAGGTATCAATGGTACGCGTGGTCAGGGATGTGCGGTCGACCATCAAATCGTAAAGGTCGGTGAAGTCGTGGTATAAATCCGAAAGGAGAAGACGGTTAAGGCCGTTCTCCTCGAACTCGTTCTTCTTTGACCGAGCCTTCGGTGGCCACGAGCCGTACTTCTGTCGGTAATACTGGATCGTGAAGCGGCGGAATTCATGGAATCCCGTCTTCCAGTTCTTGAAGCGCACGACCTTGCTTTCCTCAGAGGTAGTCGAGTTGGCGACACCCGAGAAAACAGAGGGGAAATCGAAATCTTCCAGTTTGCCATAGAGACCGCGCAGACGGGTGTCGAGATCAATGAAAGCGCGCTCCATGCGTTTTTGCGTGATAGGGTGGATGAAGGCATATTTAGGGCTCCGCAGTTGCTTGAGCTCATCGAGTTTTCCAACACCATGGACAAAGCCCTCGACATAGAGCGGATAGTAACGTAGACGCTCACCCAGGACAATGGCCTCGATCGTCTTCTCCCTGCTTCGACGGACATCTGCAAGGCGCAATTCTTCACAATAGTTGCTGAAACTGGAGGTGGCAGTCTCGCCAAAGTTAGACGCATCCAAGTTAGAGAACTCGAAACGGGCCAGGAGAACCGCGACGTCCATGAAAATAGAGAAAAGGGTGGATGACTTGGGTGAGGCAATTAAAGACTGTCCGAGCAGGAATGCGAAAAGGTTGCGGAACAAAAGAAGAGTCTCTGTGTCCTCTGGAGTGAGCCTAGCTTGCGGGTTTGACACATCGCAGTTCAGCGGAATTGGGAGATAAAGATGAAGTTCCTGCACTTCCTCGGGTGTATCTTCGAATGCCATTCTTTGGCTTCCCGCACTGTCGTTATCGTTGTCGTTTTCAGGCTGACTGTCCAGCGGTGACATGGGGGGAGAAATTGGGTTGATTGATAATGTTTGGGTTGGCTGCTCAAGGCCACTCTTGCCATCGTTGCCGCGGGCTAGATAGGTGAGGGATGGGGATTCGGCGAATATAGTGGAATCGACCTTGAAAGATGGGGCGCGGCCGGCGTTATGGGGAAACATATACACGTAAGTGTCACCTTGCTCGTTCCACAGTTCCTGGATCTAAAAAGTAACAAAAAAAAATTAACTTGGAGCACATCAAAATGGACTCAGTTTGCGCATGCATACCTGCTCTCCTCTAGACAATGGACCCAGATCATAGACGACTTTCTGGTCCAGGCCTGCGATCCAAGCAGCTGGAAGCATGGGAGTTGGCCGCTTATCGATTGAGCTGGCGCGCGAACGACCGGGCATCCAACTTCTGCGCTTCGAGGATGGTGTGCTGGGGCGGGAATCCGGGGTCGATCCAGGGATAGTCAACCCTGCGGAGCTGGAGGGCCTGCTCATATCGCGACCTCTGCTCTGCGGGCGGCCAACGGGCGAACTTGGCGTGCTGTTGGCTAGGTCTTGGTTCACCGCCAGCAGTGAAGGTGGCGGGGGTAGGCTCTCCATATCGAGGTTATCGGGCATGGTTCTAGGCTCGGAAGAGAAGACAGCATTTGGGGTTGAGACATGGCGAGTGGGTTTAGAGCTGCTCTGGCGTCGTTTGTCGATGGGGTTCTCTGAAGAATTCAAAACTGGGGAAGACACGGTCGAGGAGTGAGAGTCCCGATCTTTGGATCCTAGCGAGAACAGAGACGAGATCCGCTTCGCCGATTTAACGGGAGCCGACAACATCGTGGGTGGTATAGATTTTGGTAGTGAATAAATTTGTCGGGGAGGAAGGCGATCCGGTAGAGAAGGTCAAGCCCGCATGGGAGCCCTAGAGGAATGAAGTGCACTTGGCAGGTGATCGGGGAGGCGGAGGTTTAGGGGGTTGAGGAATGGATCGGCAGGAGGGATTGGAAGAATGACAGGAAACTTGATGCCTTTTTCAGTCCAGTGACAGGGAATGGATGAGGCTGAGCTGAGATCCAAACAAAAAAAAAATTTAAACGAGAAAGAGAAAGACAAAGGGAGAAGCTCAGGAGAAGAAGTAATTTGATAAAATCCAATAAAAAGGTAATATCGGAGCCTTATTTTATTTTACCTTATTCTATTATTTTAAGGAAATAATAGAATACAATAGAATACATCTAATACATATAATATTCATATATACTGTAATACAGCAAAGAGAAAGATTCAGTTGCCAATAATAGATCTATGAGATGAGTGGTTCCCTGGCTGTGCATGTCTTGGATGTGGACCCCAATTAAATACAGATATCAATATAAATGTCAAAGCATACTCCGTAGTAGTATAGGCAATCATATTAACAACTCTTTATATTGTGAGACAAATTTGGAAATAATATATACATCTCATAGTCACATGGATGATCAGGGAATGACCTGAACCTTAGGAAAAATCCAACTTGACATTATGTACTCCGTACATGATGTACCTTACTCCAACATGCCCATGATCACCCAATAAAAGCCCATATACAAAACACGATCATGCCGCTGCCATCCGACATACCCCAGGTGTGCGAACTGATTGATACAAGTGCATACTAATAATACTAGCCTGGTATTGCCAAGACACCTTTTTATGACGTGCCTCGATGCTGTCTATATATATATCGAGATGACAGGGTACGTTGTAAATGTAAACTTGAAATATATTGCAGAGCACTTAAAAATATACCTAAAATATACTCGGGTGGAATTCCAATGTCTGTATATAGATCTCTCAATATAAACCAAACCAATTCTGGTGTTCCTGTTCCTGTACTTGTTTAACCCCCCTGGAACCATTCAATTCCCGATCTCGGATGCAGCGGTGCCCACCTCGCCACATTCTAACTCTAACCCGTGGAAGCCCAAGCTCTTACCCAAGCATTAATTCCAGGTTTGAACATATACAAATTATATATGCGCACATAATATTCTATCATGACGCTCACCGTTTCCCCCGACCAGCCCATCGACCTCTTAACCGGGTGGCCCAACCCCGCGCTCCTCCCCGCCCCCGATCTCCGCCACTCCGCCACGACCGTGTTATCCAACCCCTCAATCGGAAACCCAGCCCTCCTCTATGGCCCCGATGAAGGATACGAGCCACTGCGCACACACATAGCCGCATGGCTGAGCGATTTCTACCAGCCTCGCGAGGCTGTTTCAACGCAGCGCATCTGCATCACCGGCGGGGCTAGCCAGAACTTAGCATGTGTGTTGCAAACCTTCACAGACCCGGTCTACACGCGCAATGTGTGGATGGTCGCACCGACGTATCACCTGGCTGCGCGCATAATGGAAGATGCCGGCTTCGCCGGGCGTCTACGCGGGATCCCCGAAGATGACGAGGGCGTCAATATTACTGTTCTGGAGAGCGGTTTGCGCGCTGCGGAAGAGATTGCCTTACGCGATGGGAATACCGAGCCGGTAAGACAACACTGGATCCATGAATACGTTGGCATCACTAGGAGTCACCGTGCCATGCCACTGTGTCATCGTTTTATTGAGTCCCGGACTGACCCTGCCCCTCTTTCCCTGCAGAAAATGAAATCGCCCAGGCCCTGGCGCAAAATCTACAAGCATGTTATCTACGCGGTGCCGACTTTTGCGAATCCCTCCGGGAAGATTATGTCGCTGCGTAGACGTGAGGCGCTTGTTCGCCTGGCCCGCCAATACGATGCGCTGATCGTTACGGACGACGTGTACGATTTCCTTCTGTGGTCGGCCAAGCCGGAGGGAGAGGACAACTTCGGTAACCGCGCGTGTGTTCCCCGCATTGTCGACGTGGACCGTTACTTAGACGGTGGTCCACAGGACGAATGGGGACACGCACTTAGCAACGGCAGTTTCAGCAAGCTGATCGGACCTGGGGCCCGCACCGGCTGGGCCGAAGCGTCGGAAAAAGTTGCCTATGGATTATCACAAACGTACGGGGCACCGCTTGGGATGACTTGAACTGACTACCCTTCTTATCGGATTCGGATTCACAAACTGACCCGATATCGCTTGCAGAGGCTCTTCCCGGTCGGGCGGCGCTCCTTCCCATCTATGCGCCGCTATCATTGACCAGATGTTCCCCACAGGCATCGTACAAAATCACATCCGTGAGGTCCTCCAACCGAAATATGCCGAGCGCTATCACACTTTGCTATCAGCAATCCACGAGCATCTCGTCCCACTGGGTGTGACCGTCCCAGCACCGGGTGCCGCCGCCGGAGGCTACTTTATGTGGATTGGTCTACCGGCGCCGTTGATCGCTGCCGACGTAGTTCAGCTTGCGCAGAGCGAAGAAAAATTGCGTTTGTCACCTGGTCATGTGTTCCAGGTCCCCGGAGACCCACAGGTGAATGATGAGGAGTTTGCGGATCATCTGCGCCTCTGCTTTGCGTGGGAAGAGCCACGACATTTGACCGAGGGGATGCGTAGGCTAGCGCGTGTTATCAAGCGTATGACTGGTACCCAGGTTTAGGTATTGGTGTGGCGCTAGATTTGGATCCACGCCACTCCAGAGCCACGCCAGCTGGACCAGAGCACGGTCCGTACCGTGTCCACTGGGGACGCGTGGCGGATAAAATTTGAGTACATAGATAATTTTACGACGTAGCCTTGCCAGCTCATACAAGCCTCTTGAGTTGGATGTAGTGCACTCCGTACTCCGTACATTATATATATTGAGCCTTTGCATTGGGCATTGGGCACTATGCAAAACTGAGTTGGCCCCGGGTTCAGGGTCACCTATTTTTGGAATGCCCAGTCAAAGGCACACCTTCAAACCTTGAATGAGTACTCCGTACTCCGTACTCCGTATGTTGTATGTTGTATGTAATTCTGGCAAAAACAGGGGGGCAAAGAATAAGATCCGAGACAGTTTGAAGGCAAGCTAATCCCGAGCGGGTCTTTGATCCTGGTTCAGGGGGGGAAGCAAAGCTTGGCCTTGATAATTTCCCCCCCTCTTTCTTCTTACGATTACCAAACGCCAACCCTTAAGTTGACCTTTGGGAATTCCAGATGTCGTGGCCTGGTCATGTTATGACCTTTTGCTTTTTCCCCCGTCATTGGGAATCCTTCAACCATCCCCGGAATGTTCATCCATACCTCATGAACGCCCCCTGACAACACGCGGGGGATATCCACCTCTGACTCGAGGCGTCGAGTCTCGTTTGTGTTACATGTGTACATATTACACAGATTTAGACATATAACATAGACACAGACATGCATTTTGAAGCAAACGGAATGGAACCGCGGTCATTTCCAAACACAATGCCTTGGGGAATCGACTATCATCAGGACTATTTAATTACTGCATTCAAAAATATCATACAGGGATCCACCCGGGTCAAGGGCATAGTGATACGCGATAGCTTGCAATGCTCGTCCTGTTCCCCCCTGTGAGCATAACCTGCATCTCAGATGATTGGAATGGATGACCAGACATACCCTGGTTGAGTTATGGATCTAGTTATATAGCGCGTAGACCCTGAATACTCTGATCATGTTTACTTCCACTTGAAGGCTGTTTGTTCCGTTCTACTCTGGAATAAATCGGAATACATTGGAATACATAGGAAATTGCCCATCACTACAGGCGACCCCTAAATTGCAATTCGAAACACCTCCCGGCGCTATTTAGCCGATTCAACCTGCAACACGATCTTCAGCGTTTCAACTCCAGACTATCACGTTTCAAGCTTCTAACGCTGTCGCCTGGTCTGGGATTGTGATTGGTGGGGTGTGGTGGACTTTCGGGCCCTGGTGCGTGTGATTGGTTGAAAAGGGGAAGTTTGCAAACGCTTCGATTCCTTAAGAGGTATGATTATGATCCCGTTTCTATTGTCCTATTTCTATTTCTGTATTTCTGTATTTCTGTATTTCTGTATTTCTCTATTTCTCTATTTCTCTCATTTCTTATTTCCTTTCTTCTCTTCTATTCATTCTCTTCTTTTCATTTCATTCATTCATTCATTTACTTAGCACCATTGCTTTGTTTTCGCTTCTTTCTTGGGAAGGAACTGTGCATCAGGAGATTCACTCTTTAAATCTTCTTTTGCTTTCTTCCTGCATATCGCTGCTGGTCAAGCGTTGGACTCGACTCTTATTTCGATTTCTGCAGCGCTGGTTGCTGAACTATCTTCATTCCCTAGACATCCTTCTTTTACTACTTCGCTGCTGGTTCAGCGTTATCCATTTTCAACATGGCCGTTTTACAGACCTCTATCGCGATCTTTATCGCTCATATCATCCTTCTGCTCGGCTTGCTAGCCTCTTTGGTCGCAGCTGTGCCAGTCGCCGTTCCCGTCTCTCCGGTCAACAACGTGTTGGCGACTACTGAAAAGAGATCCGCCGCCTCAAGCTACTGGGTCGCCAATGTTGAGCGCCAGGGTGTTGTCCCCTTCGCCACGAGCACCGACTACAAGATCTTCCGAAATGTAAAGGACTATGGTGCCAAGGGTCAGTCATTCATCCAAACTCTATACCCTCGGGCAACATGCTGACTATATCATAGGTGATGGCTCTACTGACGACACTGTGGCTATCAACAAGGCTATTTCTTCTGGTGGTCGTTGTGGCAAGGGCTGTGATTCATCTACCACCACCCCTGCTATCGTCTACTTCCCGCCTGGTACCTATGTTGTCTCCAAGCCCATCGTCCAGTACTACTACACCCAGATCGTCGGTGATGCCGTCGAACTGCCCATCATTAAGGCCTCCGCCAAGTTCGCCGGTATGGCTGTGATTGATTCCGATCCCTACGAGGACAACGGCGACAACTGGTTCACCAACCAGAACAACTTCTTCCGCGCCATTCGCAACTTGGTTATCGATCTGACCAGTATGCCCGCTTCCTCCGGTGCCGGTATCCACTGGCAGGTTGGTCAGGCTACCAGCTTGCAGAACATTCGCTTCGAGATGGTCAAGGGTGGTGGTGACGCCAACAAGCAACAAGGTATCTTCATGGACAATGGATCCGGTGGTTTCATGTCCGACTTGACTTTCAACGGCGGTAACTACGGCATGTTCCTCGGTAACCAACAGTTCACTACCCGTAACTTGACCTTCAACGACGTCCAGACTGCCATCTTCATGAACTGGAACTGGGCCTGGACTTTCAAGTCGGTTATAATCAACAACTGTGAGGTTGGCCTGAATATGTCTACCTCGCCTTCCAACCAGACTGTTGGCTCCGTCTTGCTGCTGGACAGCAAGCTCACCAACACCCCCACTGGTATCGTCACCGCCTGGACCCAGAAGAGTATCCCCGTTGGCGGTGGTGACCTGATTCTGGACAACGTGGACTTCTCTGGCTCCAAGGTTGCTGTGGCTGGTGTCAATGGCAACACCATCCTTGCAGGTGGCTCTGTCGTCGACAATTGGGTTCAGGGTAACACCTACACCCCGTCTCAGACTATCAACAAGCGCGCTAGCGAGGTTGAGACTGAGCTGGTCACCGTTGTTCAGACCGTTACCGAGACTGTCCTTGCCTGTGGCGCCTCACAGGGCCTTCCTAGCGCTAGCCTTGCTGGCAGCGATGTTCCTGCCCCTGCGAAGACTGCATCACTTGGATCCCCTCCCGCTCCTTCGCCTGCTCCAGGTGCTGGTACCAGCAGCGATGGTGAACGCACTGCTAAGCCTTCTTCGATCCCCGCGCTGAATAGTGTTCTTTCTCTTCTCGGCGTAGCCTCTTCTCAGGCCTCTGAAGTTCCCGAGCCTACTCCCGTAGCTGCTCCTTCCACTGCGGCCCCTGTCACCTCCGTGGTGTCTGTTGGTTCTTCGCCTTCCAGTGTCGCCTCTGCCAACCAACCTTCTGTGCCTGTCACATCCGCTGCTACACCAGCGAAAACCACTAGCAGTAGCTCTCAAGTCAGCCAGGCCTCCCAGTCCGGCAGTGATAGCAGCACGGCCACTTGCGGTGCCGCGGCCGCTGTTTCCTCTGCCCGCACCCAGAGCACTCTGAAGACCGCTTCCAAGCCCGCTAGCCTGCTCAAGGGTGGCGCTATCTTTGAACGCTCGAAGCCTTTGTATGAGGATGTCGCAGCCTCCTCTTTCGTTAGCGTCAAGTCCGCTGGCGCTAAGGGTGACGGAACTACTGACGACACTGCGGCCATTCAGAAGATCTTTGACAGCTACAAGGATGGTCAGGTCATCTACTTTGATCACGGTGCCTATGTCATCACCTCCACCATCAAGGTTCCCAAGGACATCAAGATCACTGGTGAGATCTGGCCCATGCTCATGGCACACGGCGATAAGTTCGCCGATCAAGAGAACCCCGTCCCTGTCTTCCAGGTCGGCCAGAAGGGTGACACTGGCTCTGTCGAGATGAGCGACCTCATCATCACCACCAAGGGCCCCGCCCCTGGTGCTATCCTCATGGAGTGGAACGTTGCTGGCTCTTCTCAAGGCTCTGCTGGTATGTGGGATGTCCACTTCCGCATTGGCGGTGCCGCTGGTACCGAGCTGCAGAGTGACACCTGCCCTAAGACCCCCAAGGAGAAGACCACACCCAATAAGGAGTGCATGGCCGCCTTTATGCTCCTGCACATCACCAAGACGGGCAGCGCGTACCTCGAGAACACCTGGTTCTGGACTGCTGATCACGAGCTCGACCTCAAGGATCACAACCAGATCAATGTGTATACCGGTCGCGGTGTGCTCATCGAGTCCCAAAACCCCGTTTGGCTGTGGGGTACCTCGTCGGAGCACCACCAGCTGTACAACTACCAGGTCTCAAGCGCCAAGAATGTCTTCATGGGCCTCATCCAGTCGGAGACTCCGTACTACCAGTCCAACCCGACCTCGCTGACCCCCTTCACCCCACAAAACTCCTGGAACGACCCTGACTTTGCAAACTGCACGACAAACTCCTGCCGCAAGTCCTGGGGTCTGCGTGTCCTCAGCTCCTCGGACGTCTTCGTCTACGGTGCTGGTCTCTACAGTTTCTTCGAGAACTACGCTCAGTCTTGTCTTAACTCTGAGGACTGCCAAGAGAACATGGTCGAGGTTGACTGTTCCGATGTCAAGCTGTATGGTCTCAGCACCAAGGCTGCTGTAAACATGGTTACCTCGTCCAGTGGCAAGTCTCTGGTCCCTCAGAAGCCCAACAAGAGTAACTACTGCTCTACCATCGCTCTCTTTGAACAGTCTGCTTAGATTCTTCTCCTCTTTTCCTCCGGTTTCCTCTGGAACCCTTTTCATTCTTATTCTCATTTTTGTTCTCGTCCATTGTTGTAAACAATATCACTTTTTATCTTTTGTACGCTCCCCACCATTGTATGAGATTCAATCTCCCTTTATTCCCCATACTCCTGCCCTTGTCTTCGCCCTAGACACTTGTTTTTTTTATAGATTGTGGCAGTGTAGGATTCGCACTTTGAGGTCTTTTGCTCGATACCATCGGATTCGGTTTCTTTAATAGACTTTTTCTTCCTTTCTGTGATCGATATGATGATATAGAATGCCATGGAATCTAACTTACGATCATTACACTTGCACCTTCCTGTTACTTGTCAAATTCGTAGTGTGTTTATCTCTCTCCCTGGCCCTTGTTCGATCGAAAATCACAACCTTGGGAAGATTGCGGCTCCTTTTCCAAAGATAAGAAGAAACAAGCACGGAACTTTGATCTCCACTGGAAAAGAGATTTGCGCAACCAATAGGTGCGAGGTGGACAAGAATATACCCCTTTGAGAAAATTGAGTCAGGGAAATGAGTCACTGATTATACCACTCACAATGACACAGAAAAATAGTATACGAACTGCCCAGTAATATTGCAAGGTTATGTTTCCCATATTACAAATCCTGCTAGGGAAAGCTTATACTATACGGCGTTACACCGGGTAGATTAAGGTCCCGCCTTCGGAACCCGAAGCCATGTGGGTCTGATATCTAACTATGTTGTAGATATGTAGACATGTAGGTAAATCCCCGAGTCGGTGCTACTTGAATATCCTTAAGATACATAAATAGCTGGCGACGAGCTCCTATTCTCAGCATCTAGTCAGCTACAATTTCTCTCAGTCTCTCACCGGATATTCAAAAATGGCGCGAAGACCAGCACGTTGTTATCGTTACTGCAAGAACAAGGTTAGAACTACATCCTCACCTTTCCACAAGAAGTATAAGCCAACTAAAAAACACACATCCAGCCCTATCCCAAATCCCGCTTCAATCGCGGCGTCCCAGATGCCAAAATTCGCATCTTCGATCTGGGCCGGAAGAAAGCCTCAGTGGATGATTTCCCTTGCACTGTACACCTTGTCTCCAACGAATATGAACAACTAAGTTCCGAAGCGCTGGAAGCTGCACGTATCTGTGCCAACAAGTACATCTACTCTCCCCTATTCTTATCTCTATGATATGGTATAGCTAACCGATCTTCTTCAAAAAGATACCTCGTCAAGGTCGCCGGCAAAGAATCCTTCCACATGCGCATCCGAGTACACCCCTACCACGTAATCCGTATCAACAAGATGCTCAGCGTCGCAGGCGCCGATAGATTACAAACCGGCATGCGCGGCGCATTTGGTAAACCTGCTGGCAAAGTCGCTCGTGTGAACGTGGGCCAGATCTTGATTTCTGTTCGGACTGTTGATCGGCATCGTGGGACGGCTGTTGAGGCGTTACGGAGATCTATGTATAAGTTTCCAGGGAGGCAGAAGGTTATTGTTAGTAAGATGTGGGGGTTTACGCATTTACAGCGTGAGGAGTATCTGCGCTTGAAGGAGGATGGGTTGTTGAGGAGTGATGGGGCTTATGTGCAGTTTTGTCGGAGGAAGGGGGAGCTTGTTGGGAATATGAAAATGTTCCCTGGGGCTTATAGTCAGGTTGGAGTTGAGGCTTGAGAGTTCATATCCTTATTATTCTTTGTGTATATGATCTCTTTGGTTTCTAGTCTGATTTTGTGAGCACTTTTATCCTGATGATCATATTATGAGGTCCAGAGGCTTGCTTTTAAGAATTTAGATCGTCTGATTCTTCATTCGTAACTAGTACCTCGGATATACTATAATATCTTTCCACTCATAACCTTATAAATTACAGAATAATATGAAATACTTCGTATGTACAGCATACATCATGATTATGATCAAATAGGGGAAATATGGGAAATGGGGCCAAAACTACCGTGACTCAACTAATAAGCACTAAGATCCTTGGTGGCTAGCAATTCATATACTTGAATGTTATTCGTCAGCTTTGTATCTTGAGGATTTCATTGAATCGAATCAACGCCAGCTGTGGCTGATTCATGACAAGGGTATGTCTGGGGGCTGCAATCTTTTGAAGGGCCCCAAAAAAGGCCCCGAAAAAACCTAAAAAACCGGAGCTTCATGGAAAACGATCTTCACTTCTATAAAGTTACCAAGTATAATGTTCACCCCCCAAGAGATGCAGATGCAGATGCAGACGCATCACCAAAGTCAGAAAACCAGCAAACCCCACCGAATTCAATTTCGAACTTCATGTGATTCCTGCGCAGCATCAAAAGTGCGCTGCACAAAAGAGCAACATGGTTGTTCCCGCTGTCTTCGAAATGGCCTCAAATGCGTGTATGGACGATCGCGACGAAAGGGTAAACCACCTTCCAAGAAGACTGCCCTCCCCAATCCGGGTGTTCATCCTGCGTCTTCTCGAGTCCCGGTATCTCCATCTCCACCGGCTCCTCCAGTTCCAGTTTCAGAATCCTGGGCTCCAGGCCAGAATCATCATCAACCAAACTATAACTACAGTTGTAGTTGGTACCGGGCTTCAAACCCGACCGAATGGGAAAGAAGAACAGGAAATATCTTGACGCCCAGTTTGACTCCAACCTTGACTCCTGATGCGGGAATCCCGCATTTGCCAACGCCAGAATTTGGATGGCCGAACATGGTCGGGTCTGATTCCATGGTGACCAATGGCGAGAATCCCGCTTCCTTTCCAGAGTCGGGAGAGATGAATGAGGAGCACGAAAGTGGGCATGAAAGAGACGAAATGCGAAATGACCCGGATGATCACCATGAACCTTGTATTGCGGTAGCATGTCGGACGCTCTCCTCGCTGTATCAATTCGTTCAATCCGACTGTGTGAACCGACATGCGATCAACGATAATCAATTTCGCGACATGTTAAAACCGTCGACGCCGGAGGAGGAATCCCCCGCAAATGATATTGTGTTTTGCACGACTCGATCGGCCACAGAGACGGTTTCTCGAGTATTGAATTGCACTGGAAAATCTTGCGCACAGGATCATTCCTTGCTCCTCGTTATTGGCTCGATTCTTTTGAAAATCCTGACCTGGTATGAAGCGCTTTACCAATCTGAAATTGGAGAACTGGTCCCGTCATCCACTCCGTTGCCAGATAGTCGTGAAGACGTGAGCTCGCGACCGCACCATTCGAACACCAGTCATTCTGGTGATAAGCACCCTACAGGGCTCTCGTCACCGCGTGGAAGGATGGAAAAACCGATATATACTGTCCCGTTGACCATTCCATTGACTACTGGCGCTTTCAGTTTCTCTCGCGCAACGGAGAAAAAGATGAAAGCCCAACTCCTGCTTTGCGAGGTTCAGACTCTGTCTCAGATGTTCCAAGCTCTCGACCGTCGAGTACAGGCTGCGGGGAGTATACGGGGTGAAAAGGATCTGTGTGGACAGTCGAATACCCGTTTACAACGGCAGTTGGGCGAGCTGCAGCGTGTATTGACTGTGGTGTGTACGCAGGTGCCGTCACTGGGATCGAATGTTCATGCGTGATATATCTGTACAAAGAGGGCGAGGTTAGCTTATAAATGTCAGATCAGAGTGATGTACCATCCATGAATACAGTATAGATCAAATCATCGCCCTGCTCGTTCTCGCCTTCATCATGAGCAGCCTTGTCGGAGATGCAGGTAGAGATATTGGTACCAGAAGTAGAATGACACTTGTTGAAGATGTCCCAACAATCAACCTCATCGGCGATCGAGCGCTCCGGGTGTGGCGAGTGTAGCTTTGCAGGAGAGTTGATCTGGCCATAACAGCACGGCTCCCAGTCAGACAAGCATGTGGAGGTGTTGATGCCTGGGGTAGTGTTGCAGTCGGGGTGCATCGCGGTGATGCTGGTTGCCAGGGCTAAGGTGAGATTACAGATGGACTATTCGACACAAACCAAGGGAAACCAGCAACTGTGGGAGTCGACTGTACACTACACTAGTCTCTACCTTACAAGATCATTGAAAGTTGGATGGAAATGTTTAAATGTTTCTATTGTAGTTCTAGATAATGAGGACTTACTTGGTTTCACCATAAAGGCTACTCATCCTGAACACCACGTAAAGGTGCAAGTCTTGTTCAGGTGCTGCACACAGGACCCGTGCAGCTGGGTTGGGCAAGGGAAGGGGAGGGGGG